TCTGCAGTGACATTGAACCAAATTGGTTCTCAGATTTTATCTGAACATTTAAGCATACACTTTTAAGCACTGTCACATTTTCTTCTTCTCTATGCTATACTGAAATTCTGTGATTGTGAAAACTGGACCTTTTTGGTTTCTTCATTGGAAAAAGCTAAAAAATTTTTGGTTTAAAAATCTCACATTTGATTTGTAGGGGAGTTTTTAATTGAAAATTTCTAGGAAATAAAAAGGGACTAAAAATCAAAATAAGGCTGTGTGATACTTAATATGCCTTTTTATCATTTTTGAAAGCAAACACTAAGTCTATGTATAATCACATTGCAGGGTGGGGGGGAGGTATTACAAAGGTAATATCCAAGTGGTAGAAAGAAGTATAATGAAGTATGCTTGAGAATAAATCATAAAGATTGTGAAAGTATACAAAGAAAGATCAATGTTGTGTTGTTTGTTGTTTGTATTTTTTTTTTTTTAAGTCACAGTAAAATTATTTGGAGTTCAGTCATTAGTTTTGGAGCTGTTATTTTATGTAAGACTGTTGATTTTCTCACTGCTAAATAAAAATATTTGGATTGGTACAATGTGTGCATATTTTACTTGAGAATTTTGTCATAGCCGTTTATTATACAAACCCCACGTATGCACATATTTGAAGGACTCAACAAACATTCAATAAGGATATAATTGTGAACAGAGAGAAGAAAAAACTCACAAGGCAATCAAGAAGAACTCTGTCCAAGTACATGTTAAGAATATATTTTATTATTATTTCTGACAGTAGAAATACACTTGAGGTTCAGACTCAACAATTTTGTAGAACTATGACATGACTGTTATTTTTCAAGATCACCCTACATTTCTGCATGAACTTTATACTATTTTTTTTCTTTTCGTGACTTTAATTAGGTCTCCATTCATAAAGACAGTGATATTATTGTTTAAAGAAACACGCGTAGACATTAAAATCTATACAGGCATGAGTGTTAATAATATGTTTAACTCACCCAAGTTTCTACTGAAACTTCCTCAAACTAAGATGGAATTTCCAATTCTACAAATTTTAATCAAGGTAAAGAAAACATCCCATTAAAAACCACCAATATTTTTGTAGAATTCAGAAAAAAAAATGAACTAAGTATGTAGGCGATATCAGACAAAGGTTGTTTCATTTTTCCCATCTCCAAGTTATCATCACAAAGAAGCAAACATATCTTACACCTTAACCTTTAAGGTTTAATAAAGCCAAAAACCTCATTTAGGCCAGGAGAATATTTTTTATAGAAAATAAGGGAATATTATTGACAGGAAAAAAACAGTTTTGAAGCAATTGTTTGTTTTATGTTGAGTATTTCTTTCAAGACGGATGATCCTCTAAGAACCATTAGTATGCAATAAGTATCAATGTCTTCATATGATCTTTCAAAAATACACACTTTTTTGGGATAACTTTTCTTCACGTCTTAAAGAGCAGTTTCATTATCTTAAAATGGATTACTCATTTTATGAGAATCATGTGTGCTTAGCCATAAATTGATGATTTTTTTCTGCTCTGAAACATAAATACTTTCAAGCCTGTAGAATGTTGGGGGAAACAGAGGTACAGTGAATAAATGTGTACTTTCCCATGGTTCAAACATTATTGAATATTTCCTCTCTAGCATCCTATGTCACTTGAGAATTTTTTCCGTATTTCTATTTACTATTTTTATTATCAACTAACAATTCTATTTGTAGAACATTTAGAACAATTCTATTTATAGAACTTATAGAACAATTCAACATTCTTGACACACTCAGAGACCATAAAAAAATTGAAAAGATAGAGATTTCATGTATATATTAGGTTAGGTGAATCTATTTTCCCAAATAAAAAAAAAAAAAATCACAACTTCCCTGAATATAACAGTCACTGCAGTGGTCCCTTACAATGTTGTTTTTCTTTCTAGTGTATTACACTACCTCCTGAGATAACATTCACAGCAGTAGGACTATTGTTGGGCAAACAAAAATGAACCCATACTGGAATATAAAAAATTCAGAAGGAAATTCAGTAAGATTTATTGAACTGACCTGCTACTTTGAAACTCTAACTTTACCTCTCCATCACACCTCTGTGCATCCCACTGTGTAAAGTTTTAGATCTTTATTTTCTTCCTTTCCATGGAATACATGAAACAGATCTGCAGCACCATCTCCCAGCTTTTATGTAAATCCACTGATTTCAAATGAGTGCTGCATGTGGTACTCCAGGTGGGGTCTCACAAGAACAGAGTAAAGGGGTAGAACCTGCTGGCCACACTGCTTTTGATGCAGACTGCTTTTCAATTGACTTCCTGGCCTGCAAGTACACACTGGCAGCTCATACTCCATTTTTCATCCACCAAGTCTTCTGCAGGGTTGCTCTCAATCCATTTATTAGCTCTGTCTCTATTGACACTGGGGATATTGCCCTGACCCAGGTGTAGCCTTTGCATTTGACCTCGTTGAACTTCATGAGATTCACATGGCCTCACACCTCAAGCCTGTCAAGGTCCCTCTGGTTGCATCCCTTCCCTCAAGCATATCAGCTGCACCACTCAAGTTGGTATCATCCACAAACTTGTTGAGGATGCACTCAATCCCACTGTCTGTGTCATTAATAAAGGTATTGAACAGTTCAGGTCCCAACATGGACCCCTAAGGGACATTTGTACTGATCTCCATTTGGACTTCGAGCCCTTGACCAGAATTAGTTGGATGCAGCCACCCACACAATACCTTATCCATGTAATAGTCTGTCCATATCTCCCCCATTCAGTGACAAGGCTCTTATGCTGGACCACGTCAATCACCTTATACAAGTCAAGGTTCACTTGACTTGATCTCGCAGCTAAGATTAAAATTTCTGCTACTAAACCAAAACAAACCCCAACAGTTGTGCTCAAAACTGAGGAAATAAGGTCATTTTCCACATATTTTATGTCAGTGCTTTCATTCCACTAAATAATGCAGTAGTGAGTTAAGGATGACAAATAAAACGTGAAGCAAACATTTATTCTGAATGAAGGCTCTCTCTCCTTGCACGCTCAGTCAGCCATAATTCCCAAATGCATCCGGAACAGACAAAGGATGCTTACTAGTTGGCACAGTTGAAGTAAAGGAAGTGCTGACTTTAGGCTGAGATGACAAGACCCACATAAAGAAATATGGAGACACTGTTCTAGGACACTGTAGCTGGCTTAGTCTCCTTTAAAATTAATTCACATCAAATTTTCTACCCCTCAGAGACTTCAATCAGGTCCCACACGTGGGAGGGACAGAAAAAGAGCAACTCAGTTAAAAATGTCACTGAAACTTTTAGCTATCAATCAAACATAAGCTTAATCAAAAAGTTTAGCATTTTTTCTGTAATTCTAAATATTGATTGAGTAAATAGAGATACAATTTATGGTTTAGCAACAGATGTGAAAGAACACTGATCCCAGACTTTACTGACATTTCATATTTCTGACACATCTGAGCCCATCTGTTGCTATTGATTAGATTTCACTAAGTCTTTCAGAAGCTCACATCTTTGCTCTGGTTGTTTTGTTACACACTCCTCCTCTTTTTTCATCTCTGTTTTATTTCTTCCACATTACCAGTGTGATATGCTATGCTACCCTGTCTATTGCCTTTTTGCATTTCTCATCAGTGGATAAGCAAACTACTGTTGTACACTGCTGGCTTCTTCATGCTTGGAGCTTTAGCAGAACAGAAGTGATGCTCTGCCTCCAGCAGAACCACAACCTATCAGCTTGGAAATTCCTTTATTGATTCATGAATGTACGTTTGCAGTCTTCCCAGTTGCAATAATTGTAAGTGTGACTCTTGGTAAGTAAGTATGTATTTATCTCTAAAGTAAGTTCCATTAAGAGGTCATTCCTCACCTTCTAAGCACTTTAAATATTCTCCTAGCTTTTTTACATAGAAAAGATTAGTTTGGCTTTTCTCCCAAGATTTCAACATAAAGTGTTTTCTTCTTCCCAAATAAAATAATAAACGTAAACCCATAAGGTTTTGCATCTTTTTTTTTTTTCATAGTATAATGGTTTTTTGCAATGACAATGTTTTCCCAGATTTAAATTGCCTCAGAATAAGTCAGTACCCTACTGACTTTGAATTCACAAATTTCAGCCAGGCAACAGACATGGAGGGGCTTTGTAGAAAAATCAGAAGTTACGGCAAATTTTTTATTAGAGGGACAGCATTCCATCAAGCGTCTTGAATTTAATGGATACTAGTGTACTATAAGAGGTTTTTCTCATCACTGGTACTTTACTGGTACATGGGAAGGATGACAAAATAGGGGTAATTCTTACTTTTAAAAGGAGTAAGGCTATATTGTGTACCTCTTCTTTTTATTGTCATGAAAAGTACATTTCCTAGGTTCTCTAACACTAGTACAGACAGAACAAACAGAAATGAAAATCCCACCTCAACACAGGAAAATGTTATTTGTGTTCTCTATGAACCATCCACTAATAGCACCATTATGGTTGTTCAGATTCTAGTAAGCAGCTTTGGAGTAAATTTCTGCCTTGTAATATTTTTGTGCACTAGGCTAGAGGTATGAACATAAGAGTTTAACTTTGATACTGAAAGATCCTCCTGAATCTTACTTCTTTCTTACCTTTTCCTTCCAACAGATCAACACACAAAATTTCTCTCTCTCTCTCTCTTTCTGCATATATATATATTTACACATACATCACTTATACAATTAATTGCCTCCATAATACATATGCCTTCCCAACAGATTCATTATGATTTAGCCTGTGATTGTTAATTTTTTCTACTATTTGATATTTATTGTGCTCTAAACACAGATATTTTCTTGTTGGTATATCTTAGGAGAGGTGAAAAGAGGAACATGAAAAAAGAGCAGCTAAATGAAAACTTTGAGTTACAGAAAGAATGGGAAATTATATTTTTTCTAATTATGCTAGTTTTAATAGAAAAAAACCCCCAACTCATAGAAGTCATAAAAAAAAGAAAACTTTTATTGTGCTTTTTGAAATAACATTACATTATTAGAATAAAATGTGCATATTTACATGTATTGTGACCACGGGTTCCATGCTATTTCCTTTTTTTTAAAAAAGGAGTCAGTTATGAGACATACTTGCAGCAGTTCTTATAGGACTGGCCAACAAAGATAACTCCCCTTGGAACATGTAAGATACTCTGATATAAAAATTGCCTTTGTTTTCAACTTTTTCCAAACTAGCTTAAACCATTGACCCCCAAAATTCATAGGTAAAAACATGAAGTTAACTTGAAAGATAATTCATTGGGTTTGACTCTTTCTTCACTGACCTGAGATACTCCTCTGAAAGCTCCCTTCTCACCGATATTCTTTCAGTATTTCCTTGCAGAGAAAAATTTTGAAAAGTAGATGTGATTATAAATTGGAAGAAAGTCACATACTTGCTCCAGGGTCCAGAACTGGCTTTTCTTCTCCTCTGCAAGTTGAATTTTTATGTCCTTTTCTCATCAGTTCAAGTCCATTATGGCAGGCAGGGCATGTTCTCCTTTGTGTACATCCTCTAAGTATCTACGTATAATACCTGCTTGTCTCAAAAAATTGGAAGTAACACACACCTCTGCTTGAGATAAACTGGGTGGATGCTGACGAGGGAAAATAACTTGAAAAACAGAAGCTTCTGCTTCAAGGCTGTCTCTCTTTTACTGAACTTTACAAAGAACTGTTGTCGCCTCATGTTTTTTCTTTCGAACTGCTCAAGCAGTCTTATGTCCAGCGACTCTCTAGTGACAGCACGCGACTGTGGCTTACAGAAGAATGTTTGCTGACAGATACAGAATCGGCAGATGAAGAGTCCTGTAAATTAAAACAAATAACAATTTTTTTAGACAGTAAAATCCCATAGCTTCACTTTTTTTTTTCTATTTAGTATTTACAAAGTTATATAAAAGATGCTGCTTGCTGGATACAGACAGAACTTACTTCTGAAGCCAGGAGAAGTCTTCACCAGTAAGGAGCAGGATCGTGCGCTCTGCCTGTCTACTTCAGAGAACACAGAAGGGCAAAGAGCATCTCCAAGGTAGATGCTGAAAATGGACTTAAAGCTGATGACTAATAACTACCTTTTAAAGAGCTTTCAAGCAGCACCAGAGATTTGTGGTAAAGTCTCATTACTCTATTCTTCCAGAAGATATAAAACCAAAATCATTGAGTTATAGCCTACCACTTGGGATAGACTTTTAACACATATTCTGAATTTATATATTTTATTCATATTTACCATTTATAGTGCATATAGCAGATAGTCACTGAAATGACTTCTTCTTGATTCTTTCTTGCATAAAACACAATGTTCATCTCTCCCTTTCTGTCTTGTAGAGAGAGTGAACGGGAAGCTTTGGCCTAATACCTGAATAGTAACTCCAATAGTATTTTTAAGATAGTAAAGTAACATCACCCATTAAAAATAGGTGATAGCACTAGTATCAACAGCAAAATCATACTGCTGGATGACTTGTCATGGAAATAGAACTTGTTTCCTTTGCCCCAGGCCTACCTAGGCTCAGTTTTCAAGATATAACAATTATTTTCTTGTTCAAAAGGCCCTTAGGTCTTCTAGGAACAAAATTATATACTACTTCTTCTAAGGAAACAATCTGTTACAAGTTCCCCTCAACATTTCTTTAGATAACAAAGTTTCCTAAACATTCCCCAAGTCCTTTTGTACTAATCAAGTTATTGATGCTAATCAAACTTACTATCACTGAAGGTGCCTATCCAAGTACTTCAAATCAACACAGGTTATGTGTGATTTGTGTAGGCAAATTTTGATTGCCCACCTTAGCCTTTAAGTCAAACTCAGGACCTACAAGGGCAGTTAAGTTCAAGGCAACAATGACTCACTGCTTAAGACAGCACACAGATTCTGTTTTGCTGACATGAATAAAAGTGGGCATGGTATCAAATATACAACCTTATCAGCAATGCATATTATCACTTGCAACAGTAAAATGTAGCTGAGGCAAGTGGGAATGTTAACATGTTCTCCTATGTAAAGTCCTTACACCATTGCTTTATGTTCTGAATTAACTGGTTAAGTTCAGTAAAAACCCTTCTTTTTGATGCTCTTTAGTATGCGTTGAGCTTACTTTAAGCTCGGTAGAAAAATGTTGAAGTAAGAATATTGGTAGAGCAGCAGGGATTTTGTGCATGGATCTTGAAAAAAAATAATCAGAACAGTGTGTTCTGTTCTCTTTCTCCCTCCATCTTACTTTTTAATATAATTTTAGTGGCACACACTCATGATAAAGCAATATTATCTCAGTAATCTATGAGTAACTTAGACCAATGAATTCTAGTAACATGGCTCGAAATCCGCCTCATAAGAAATCAAAGTAAGCACTTACTCTCACAGTCACACAAGCAATACACTAGCTAAAAATAAGGATGAAAAGAAGGCTAATGTTTACCTAGACTATAAAAGTAGGTGGTTAAGATGAAATATGCTATGAGATAGTTCTAAAAAGACTAATAATAGCACTTTTCTTTTAAGATTCTGACCTGTAATGTTTAATTATCCTGTATGAAAATTCACAGGTACTTTAGCTAAAATGTGTATGAAAATACACTTCTAAATTGAGTCACTTATCAGTACTTAGGGACAGCACATCACAGGCCCCATAATTTTTGAATTTTTCTACCTGAGCGATCCACATGAAAAGTATCTGGCTTCTTTTAAATATTACCTTACAAAGCAACTGGAAAATGTTCATTTCACCAAGGACTTTCACATCTGTTATACACTTTATTAAAACTGCATGACCTGCCCGTAAATACAATATTTTCCTTCAAGTCAGCCTAAATGTTAAAAGTCAAGATTGCAGCTTAGTAGAGCAATGCTACGTTGAGTTCTGGGTCATCCAAGTTCAAAAAGGCTCTCCAAAAATCAGAGTTCAGGGAAGGGTTAGCAAGATAGTAAGAAGGCCTAAGAGGAGAACTGAGTGTTCATTTATTCTGACAAAGAGTTCAGGACATGGTTCCAACAGCCTGCTTGAACTGCAGTTACATAAATGAGACACTTGTCACAAGTAATAGCAAGTGGTACTAGAAAGAACAACATAGTCACCTAAACTTTCAAACCACGCTTTAGGAAGATCTTTTTCACTAGTACGGTAGTGTACAACTGGAATAAGCCAGCAAGAGACATTGCGAAATCTCAATCTTTCCATGACTCAGGTGGAAAAAAAACACAAGGAGGTGGTGCAGTGTTCAAAAGTGCTGCTCTGACAAGGCAGGGAGACTAAAGGACTCCTAGGGGTCTCCCCCAACCAGAACTTGTATGGTTCTATGAGGTAAGCTCATTCAATTTGTTTATTATTAGACCTCCACTGCATATGTCTAAAGTCATAAAAAGCATGAAATAAGTGTCTGGTGGTTTATATGGGTTTTTTAGTGTCCAAATTCAGATAATAGCACAAACTATAAAGGCCAAGGAAAGATGTGAAAACCCTTACAGATCCACAAATCTGAAAAATTAGGAATATGGCCATCTTCCTAACTCCATTTAATTTATTAAACTGTCAACCCTTAAAATCTGTATTATACTAGCCAGCAAAAGAAACTGCAGATGCTTACTGTAGGGGGTTGATGGCAGACTGCATTCAAAAAAAAAAAAGTCTTGTATATTTGAAATATAAGTTGATATAAATAACATGATTTAATTATGATAAATATAATCTCGTCAACCTTGAGAATAGTTTTTATTATCTATTATTTAACTAGTATTATCTAAGAAAGTGATTGTATTGTTGAAAGTTTCTCCTTGTTAAATAACTTGAAGCTATTAAAACAAGAAGCCTATGCCCCTCGCTGGATAAACTTCCCCTTAAAATAGACAGATGTTTGAAAAAAGTATTCATACAATATGTAACTTTCCTCTGCTTCCATATTGAAATAACTTTGTTTCTGTTTCCTCTTTGACTGCTTAAATTAAATAGGGCCTTAGATATATATTTTGAATTATTAATTTGAATGATAAACATTAATTTCATGGTCTGAAAAGTCTTTGCTTTTCAAGAAAAAGACATGGACTTTAGCCTGAATTTTTCAGCAGATAAAAAGGGTGTATTTCTGTAAAAATTGGTAACAAAATTAATTGAAGAAAAATGTTCTTGAAATTTGGCACAACTTGAATACTATTTCAGTCATGTGTACTTCATTTACATAAGTTTCTGTAAGCTTTGAATTTATGTAATATTTCACTGCATTCAGTTTTCAGTTAAAGGGTTATAAAGTGAGCAAACATCATTGATTAATTGTGCTATAGGGCATAAATTTGTGCTACAAATTATTGATGTGAAACATTGGTGAACATGAAACATTTTGTTTTCTTTATTAATCAAGAAGTTTGGTAATTTTGCTATTGTAGCAATTAAACTTTTTTTTAATTTAGAAATTGATTTTGAAAGTGTAGCAGTTTGTTGTAATCCTGTCTGTACAATATAAAGAGTACCAGGGAGCATACAAATGGAGTTGTGACAATTAAAAGGAAGAAGGTATTAGGTATTACTCTGACACTCAAGGAAAGAAGAAAGGAATTCCTCGAAAAGGATGTGAAAAAAAAAATTGTTTTATCAAGCACCTTGAAAAGATACTTGCAGCTGAACCAAAACATTAAAAACAACCATATCTTTTCAACCAACTGAAGAATCACAGAACCACGAAATGGTTGAGGTCAAAAGGGAGCTTTGGAGGTCATGTGGTCCAATGCCCCTGCTCAAGACCAGCCTGCTAAAGCAAGTTGCCCAGAATCATGTTCAGCTGGTTTTCGAATATCTCCAAGGATAGAGACTGCACAACCTCTCTGGGCAGCCTGTGCCAGTGCTCAGTCACACCTATAGTGAAAAAATGCTTTCTAATGTTCAGAGAAAACCTCCTGTGTTTCAGTTTGCCTCTGGTCCTGCCACTGGGCACCACTGAAAAGAGCCTGGCTCTGTCCTCTTTGCACCCTCCTTTCAAGTATTTATATTTTGTAATAACATCCCCCTGAGCCTTCTCTTCCTAGGCTGAACATTGCCAGCTCACTCAGCCTTTTCTCATGGGAGAGGTGCTCCAGTCCTTAATCATCGTAGTGACGTTTTACTGGAGTCTCTCCATTATGTCTATCTCTTTCTTGTAGTGGGTGCCCAGAACTGGACATAACACTGCAGGTGTAGCCTCACCATAGCTGAGCAGAGGGCAAAGATCACCTCCCTTGACCTGCTGGCAATTCTTTGTCTGAAGCAGCTAGGACACCATTAACCTTCTTTGCAGCAAGGGTATTTTGTCAGCTTATGTTCAACTTGATGTCCCCCCTATGTCCTTTTCTGCAAAACTGAAGACTTTAAGTCAAAGGACAATATAAAGGTTATTTACTGTTTCACGCTTTTTTTTTCTTTTCCAGCAAATTGTGAAGAACTTGATACCAAGCTTGTCATGTATCTTCATGCAGATACAGGCCAGCATTTGAAGGGACTGTGTGTGATCTATATGAAGTTGTGCACTTGGTAGCTTTTATAGAACTATTATTCTTTAAAACTCCAACACAATTTTTCAGTTAAGGTTGCTCTCTCTCCTAATATGACAGCCAGTATCCACCTCATTTTTTCCTATCAGTTAAAGGGCAGATGATAACTAATTTTTTATTTCATCAGTTGCTTACAAAATTTATTTCTTTCAGCAACTTCAGCATAACAATGTAGCCTATTGACACTTCATGTTTCCTGAGATAGAGACCCTAAAAATAGAGCATACACTTTATTTCCTACAATTTCTACAGAAAAAGAAGAAGTAATGTGAAGAATCAAAATGTGAGGAAA